CTTTTCCACAATGCACGTAGGATCCCACTCCTCGCCTTGACGCCGGGTTACATACTGCTTCCTATGCGGGCCACCAGTAACCCAGGTCTCGTCGGTCCAAAGGATCTTTGCCCACTGCTCAGGGGTCCAATGTTCATGCTCTTTGGCCCAGGTCTCTCGGAGTTTCCGGGTTCGTTCGGTTATCGGTGGCTTCTTACGAGCAACTCGTCGGCGGAAGCCCAGTGGATAAAGAGCATGCTTGATCACCCACACGCCAAAGACCCCAGCGAAGATGATTGTTGAGAGCTCAAGGAAGCCCATCCGACGAGCTTTTTTACTGGAAACGACATACTGAACAAGCTCGTTTTCTTGCTCTGGTGTTAACGTCCGTGGCCGGCCAGTACTCCGCCTAGCAGTGGCGTCGCGAGCGCGAATAGCGATCCGGATCTGGGCTTTAGTATAGCCAGTAATACTCTGGATCTCAGCTTGGCTTTTGCTGGCATCGAAATATAAAACCCGAACTCGCTGGCGTTCCTCGGTAGTAAGCTGTTTCGTACCGCTGGATCCCTGTGGCCGTGCCATCGTGCTGTTGTGAGTTATCGAAAATAAGAGATGCTTTGGAAGACGCTGTTCCACAGTACTGTGTAAAGGGGAAAAGTTTGGGTGTGTTCAGCTGATTGGCCAAAACGCGTCAGCCTGTTGTGCCCCACAGGTACTTGACATGGGGGTTTTCTTTATGCACGCGACCACAGTAGAGAGCCAAAAGTGGCTGGTTCTGTTTGAGTACCCCTGGAACCGACATGCTTACGCTATAGTGCAAGGTACTGTATGTACACATTACAAAGGATCGCATCTCTTATCACCGCTTTCGCTAGAGCTAGAATCGGCTTTGACAGATCATCGTTGTTGGGCCAGTCCAGACAGATTCTTCAGGAAAGGGGCAGTTGCAAGTCGACATGCTGGAACCCACATTTTGCTCACTTATTGCAAATCCTGAGGTCGCGCCCCATTGTCTCAGTGGCAGAACCCGGGCGAAAAATTGACTTCTTTTTCTACCCTGGCCAAGCATATAAAAAGTCCTGCATGGGAGGCTCAGCATCAAGCAGAAAAACAACCCTGAACTGTACAGTCACGGACGTGCTTGTTAGGTAGGTATGGTTTATTATTTTGTTATGCTCCTTCAGTCCATCCAAGCTGCGTATTAAGCCGAGTTCCGGCTGAACATTTGCTGCCCAACAGCCCAATCAATACCGAGAGGGTCACAGAATGACTCCTTCTCAGATTGCTAGCGACGACCACACACAAATCACTACGCCATATCGATTGCTCTGCAACTAGGACGAATCCACCGCCCTAGTCGCCAGCCGTACCGTTATCAACAACCTTCAGCAGCTAAAGGGGGACCTGCTGGTTGAGGTTGTGTGATGTTACCTTACCTTGCTTCCAGATAGGCTCCTTCACTGCGGCTGGCTTAGTCCTTGCTCGTTGTCCTAGTCCAATCTCTCTGTTCAGGCTACGCAGCTCTCGCCGTGTCGCAGCAATTGAGACGAAATAAGTGAAGGTTTCTAGCAGCAGTAGAGACTTACGGATTTGAGCAACCGCCGGAGGAAGAGAAAGCCTGGAGTCATTAGTTTGTTATGATGCCCTACCGCAGACGAAAAAAAGGGCCGGTCTGGTCTGCCTTGTACACGCGTTCCTTTCTTGTGTGTATTGGCACAACTCCGAACTGGAATGGCGAGGCTGAACGGCTTCCTGAGCAGGATTGGAGCGGGCGAGTCAGACCTTTGTCCCTGCCGTCGAGCGAGGGAAACAGTAGAACATTTTCTGTTGCGATGCGTGAGCTGGGCAGCTCTGAGAGAAGGCATGCTGCAATGCACAGTGACAAGACGAGGGTGCCTCTCGTTCTATCTAGGAGGGAAAGCACCATCTGACCCGAAGGAGTGGTCGCCAGACATCAAAGCAATCCGGGCAACGATTAAGTACGTGTCACGAACCAACCATATATCGAGGCCTGGTGGGACGACGGAAGCCAATGAAGAGGCGTAACACCAGGGGAAAGCTGAGGTAGGGCTTGCAAGAGGGATCACCGCCAAGGAAGTGAGCGCGGTGAGCGGCTCACCAGGATCACCGCCAAGAAGGTGATCGCAGTGATCGCAGGTACGGAGGTACCTGGGGGAGGAAGCTGTATATAGTCTACGATCTTTAGGCCTACGGGCATCACTGTAGCTTCCTCAGTAAGCAACTCAAGTGCAAGATTGTCAGTACCTTTGGACATTGCTTGTTGTGAACCCTTTGGCTTCACCGAACCTCACCCCGTTGTCGAGCTATAACCTTCAGGAGTCCCTTTCAGAAGTTGGGGCTTGAGATTCGTCACAGTACGCCATGGCGACAGGGAGACTGGATCCAGACGAGGAACAACGACTGGCCTCCGGACTCGGAACATGGATAATCACTGCACGCCGACCGGGGCCAAGCCCGAGCTAAGACTTCCGGGGACTGTACCGCTACAAACAGCCAACCAACTCTCACGTCAGCTCATGGGCTGGGCTGCAGTCTGTCGATCTTCGGGCTTCAGTGTGGGGCTTGTCTCTTGCGTTGTTCAGATCTACATTGGATCAGCTGACATTGTGCGTAACTAACCCACTCCCACGGCAAGACCGCGACCGATGCGGCTATGATTATCGGCGCGATGGACATATTTGCTCTCAACCGGCTAGCTGTGCGGATCGATCTACGTAACTAAGATCTATACAGCTTTGAACTAAAGATTCTAATACGCAACTACCTTAAACCTTCAGATCTAGGCCTACGTCAGCCAGCAATCATACCTCAATAACCTAAAGATCGCTGGACAGAGATTTGTCCAGCTAGAAGACTATATAAGGAGGTCTTCCCTCCTACCTAGCTAGTTAGATAGTCTCTTCGATCTCAGGACTATATAACTGCACCACCACGCACTTCTATGAATCTTGCTTAGAACGACCTTCAAGCCGACTATATTTCTATCCTTTAGCTCCCACTCGACCAATCTACCTTTTGATCTGCTCGCAGGCTTTGCAGAGACCTATCACTCTGTCGGTTTGCTCCAGCCTTTTTACATATTGATCATTTGCTCAACCAACACTATGGCTCCTGTCACTTGCGATGTTCAGGTAGAATTTTCCTCGCCGTACTACGGGAGACTGATCCTCAGCAAGATTCGCAACGAGGACAACACGCCGGTGACGATCAACTCGTTCCTCGGTCTGGCCTTCAAGTCCCCCGCGCAGGTCGACAAGCCCTACTTTACTGTGTCCCTCACCCCGTGGCAGGCAGTCACCGCCATGGTCACGAACGAACCGGTCAAATCGTCCCTCTACACCGTGTTGGCAGGACTCCACCTTGAGTCTCCGCACACGTTCAACACCAATGACACCATTACGATTGACATCAATGGCGACTTGAATGCCGACGCCGAGACCTACGTGAAGTCCTTTGTGCTCGCCGCGGACAAGATGCCCGACACCAACGGCAAGGTCGATGTCCATTGCCAGGAACACGCCCCACGAGATGCTCGCCAGTGCGCAGCAGAAGGTCACTCTCACGGAGGGCAAGCGAGTGATCACCGCGCACATGGTGCCCGGTGAAAAGAGGATCGTGGTTGCACCAGCCGGCAACTACGCCGTCGCAGCTAGCGAGCTCGCTACGGTGGACGAAACCTACGTTGCGACCGCTTACGCCACGCCCTCTAGCTTGGTTGTCGAGGCTGGCAAGACAGTGTCTCTGAGCGTTGCTTACGGCGACCTAAAGGAGTAGGTAAGGAGCGTTAGAAACGGATAGGAGGAGGAGAGGAAATTGCAAGGCGTTAGTGGCGGTAGTCGTGAGGTCAGGATGAAGGAGCGGAAACTGGGGGAGATACTCCTCTCTAAAGTCCTGTAGGCACTATCTCAATCTATTCAAGCCGACAGGAAATACGCTATGGACAAGTACAGTGATCCGGGCCGGAGTGTCCATTCGTCGAACTCGTCCTTGAACGCGTGCCAGAGTTCTCGTCCCATGAGGTTCATGGCGCCCCAGTCTTCGGTGAGAAAGTAGATGTGTGAGTTCATCTGGTGGGGCGTGGGCTCCATGATCTCATCGATGGCCGCGATATTTCCCCATGTGGAGGGATCCACGGAGGCGTGAAACCGCTGGGGAATCGGTAGGGTAGCCGGATTTCCTCTGGTTTGGCTGATCTCTGGCGTTGGCGAGCTTGGAAGCCGTTCCGTTTGCGGCGATGCCGTCTGATCCATTGTCACCTCCTCGGAATAGTAACCTCGGTGATTGGTATTACCCCGCCTCGCCGCGTGCGTTTCTCCCAGGCCGCGGCTTCAAAGGCGTGTAGGTTTGTCAGGTGAATTGGGGTGTGCGCTGAGGCCGATGGAAAAGGGGCGCGCAGTTGGAAGAATGATGCGGAATGAAGGTTGTGATCGCGCGTTCGATGGAAAGTAAATGAAAGTCGAAGACGCAGGGTCGTGTGAGGTCTCGGTGTTTGCGCGATGGTAAAATTGATGAACAAAACGGGGCTGACGGTTGCGCGCGGCGCTGAAGATGCTGGGGACAATGAATTGAAAAAGCAAATGTTCGAAAAATGAAGGTATCACGACTCTGTCCGACGGTTGGAAAGGTCAAGAATGGGTAGATTGACGAAAAATCGGTGGATTTTGACGAGAGTGGATGGAAAATGATCAAAAAGAGTGGCGCAATCGAATGCGTTGGTCGGATTGATGAAAAACAGTGCGCGCAGCGCGAAAATCGATGGGAAAAGAAGGGGTTGTAGTTGATGGTTGCGGCTCGCGAGGATCTTGGCGAGCGCGGGGTTGCGTGATGGACGTTCCTACGGCGCGTTCTGAGTCCGTACCATAGGATTGAGGTCCTCGTAGTCCTTCACTTTGTTCTAAGCCCAAGTGAAGGTCTCGAGAAGGCTCCTTAGCACGGTTTTGTTGAAGAAGTCACTACTTTGGTAGAACCTCTCCTACAATTCCGTCTCTTCTGTTAACCTTGCTGATCTGTGGCGGGCTGTTTCGTAGTGGTATAATTAACCACTGATCAGTGTAGGAAATACCAGGTATCGCGATACATTAGAAACACAGGGCAAATACCCTCTCCTTGAGAGGGACGTGCTAAAGTGGTGGTTCAGTTGGATGCTCTTATTCTTTTCTGAATAACGGGGCGCGAATCTTGCAGCCGCAGTAGTGGTCCTCGAGGTCCTAGACCACGTGACTACTACCCCTGTAATAAACCTGCCCTCACCCGGGTCCTCCTGCGAGGACCTCACTCTGGCGTAGATATTCCAACACTAACAGAAGCCGAATTGGCACCAGAAGAGCCATGTAACGGTCTCAGGCAGTATATTGCAACTAGCTGATGACGACTCTACGAGTACACTGAACTTGGAGAAGAAAAGGAGAGACGACAGACTCTGGTAGCTCGCAAGTATACTTATCCTCGTAGGCGCGCTGGTCTGAGCGCGTTGCTAGAAGGTTCGGTGTGCTGTGGGGCGAGTGGGAATAGCCTCATCAGGGGTCTTGGTATTGGCCGAGAGTCGCCGAGGCTCGCACCGGGCCCAGCCCGTTACAGCCAGTGCTTAGAGAGGAGGTGGTAAGAGGAGGACCGCTGTTGGGACTGGGAACTGTCTTGCAGGCAAGAGCTGCGTCGTCACTCGAAGGCAGGGTACAAGGAGACGCATCGTCAACGAGAGAGGGCTGGCCGTTGGTCGGAGTTTCGGAGGGCAAGGTAGCGTCAGCGCTAGCGGCCGTCATCCGAGAGTCGAAGGGAGAGCCGGAAGGAGAGCTAGAAGAGGAGCCGGAAGGAGAGCCGGCGGAAGGAGAGCCGGAAGAAGCAGAGCCGGAAGGAGCGGTTGCGGAAGGAGCGTTGGTAGAAGGAGAACTCGAGGGGGACCCGGAATGAGAGCCGGAAAGGGCGGCTGTGGAAGGAGAATTGGTAGAAGGAGGGGCGGAAGTAGCGATGGTGGTGATCTTCCGGCCGAAGTCTTCTAACTTCCTCTCAAACTGAGAGAAAGCGTTGAGGAAAGAGAGCTCGAGGTTTTCGTGCCTGAAACTCCAGGTTCCAGGTGTGCGTGGAGACGTCGTCGACTATTTTGCTGAGTATGTGTGGAGTTGAAGAACGAGGTAGCTAAGACTTTAAGATTCTTGAACTCCTGTTTGATGCGCTGTAGTTCAGCTCGTAGTTGCTCCATTTTGACAGACTTTCCAAGGTAAGGGAGAGGAGGGTCTTGAAGGAAGGAGGGTAATTAGAAGAGGCCGGTGCTTTAAGCTAAGACTCCACTACGGGACTGATAAATCAGTCCCACGGTGGGTCTGCGGTGGAAAAAGCGCGGTTGACGGAATATTGTTACAGTCGCCCCTGGTTTGATCGTGAGCGTGGTACTTGTACCTCTGCTGGTGGGTCAAGACAACTGTTGCTGGGTGGTGGGAGTTCGGCTACACGTCGGGCTCTGAGAACGCCATTCCGACTAGCCGCCCTTTGGCGGCTGGAGTGACTCGAGCACTACCTTACATGCGGAGCACAAGTGTGCAATACAACCAACAGCCAAGCCAACTGCCAAGACAGGGCCATATCACAGCCCCAGCAGCTCGCAGTCCTCGCCGTACCGTTCCTCCAGCCTCTCCCGGACCGCCCTCAAGCACGTGTCCTTGCGATAGCGGGCCAGGTCTGGCCAGCTATGCTCGCGATAGATTGGCTGAGCCTCTTGAACCTCGGTTGGGACCTCGTCCATGTTGAGCAGAACCGTAGGGCTGACCGGCACCAAGTACACAGCAGCCGGAACTGGTCCTTGAGGAGCTCGAAAAAGTTGACCACGGCCCAGGCGGGCTCGCTGCGCCATTCCGCCTCGCCCTCGGGAGCATAATAGTCAAAGGCATCGTAGAGGATGGGTTCCCGGGTCGGTTCGTATCTGATGCTGTCGGGGCACGCAAGCCAGTAGATGACACCAAGCTCCGTGTCGAGTATCCACCGGCTTTCATCCCTGGCCGACGGCGTGCAAATGAGGCCGACGGCGTGCGGCGGTGCGAGCCCAGGTTCCCCGTGTTCGTCAAGGGGCTCCGTCATGATCTTGCATTCCTCCAGTTCTTCCTTGTCGTCTAGCCAAGGGCGGCGGTCAAGATTACGAAACACCTCCATCCAGTTCCAGAACCGCACATCACGGGAACCAACTTCGGCCTCGCTTTTCACTCCGTAGGTGTCGTGACGGAGGTAGGGGATTTGGCGCAACAGCATGTTGACTTTGTCGGTCTTGCCGAAGCTCTGGAGACGACCAGGTGTCATCTCGGGCCAGCCGCCCTCGGGTGGTCGAAGAATGTCGGCCTCGTCCAGGTACATGACGGCGAGAAAGTTAAAGTAAGCGCTAATGGCGCCAACGGTCGCCGCGTGAGAGTAGCTGATTTCGCTGAGCCGCGGCATCTCCCCGGACTGGAAGGATTTCGGGTTGCATGGACTGGAAGGCAAGCCGCCAGAGACGAAATGCTCACTGTCCAGCAAGCGATATCAAGCGCGCCAATAACTAAGGGTAGGTACCTAGGCAGAAATTGAAGAGCGTCGACGATTCCAGGCCTCGGAACCCGCAGTTGCTCCAGTCGAGAGGTTGAACAGGGTTCTTCAGGAGCACGAGAAACCAACCAGATTAAGGTAAAAATATAAATCACGGGAGCTCGGGGGCCAAAAGTGAGTCACTCCCCCTGCCACGTTCGCGAAATCGAACTATGTACCTATTTTGGCGTCCCCCCTTACCAACGTGCATACCAATTTGAGGTGGTGGACACTACATATCTCTACCCAATCTTTCACATGACGGCCATTCATAATATTGATGTAGGAAAGTCCCAAGCGACGATGAGAAACTCCCCATCCCTCCGTGGGTGTTTTTCAACTATTAATCTTCTTGACTTGTTGCGTCATCTTCAAGATTGAAATCAGAAGACAATACCACGGCTACCATCCGAGTCTGAGTCCGATGCAGAACTGGCGAACTGGATCGACGACGAGTCTGTCCAAGACGTCAATGACGCCGTACCGGTGGCTGAGTTTGAGACAGCGAAGCCCACCACTGATTCAGCGTGGAACTAGGATCTGGTGTCGGATCGCAGCTCGAGAAGCGCCAAACGGAAGGCCGAGTTAGAAAATGGCGATGGTGGCCATCCACACAAGATAACTCGAATGGGTCCGACCAGCATCCAGTCGCAGACATCCGACAGCGACACCGACGATGACGATCAGGACAACGACAGCAGCGACGATGACGACATCCCTGCCAATGGAACCCACGTGGACTAGTCGTTCTCAGCCTACTTCAAAGGGCCAGTCTCAACTGGAGCCACCGCCGCCGCCTCTGCAGGGCAATATACGGAGAGTGAGTCCAAAGCGCACCCCCTGCCAAACTCTGACGTTCAACTTGTCGCAGCCGCTCTTCAGTTATTCAAGCGAATGAACCCGCTGCTGCCTCAGCCCAACCGCCCAGGACATCTCTTTACCTACGTCGCTGCACTGCCCGTCAAGCGGATTCCCGTCGTGGCATCCCGCTTTACCATCAAGAAGCCGCAGAACCAAATCTCGTTCCTCATGCAAGCCGTGGGCGACGGGGTCCCAGAACATGAGGCCTGCGCGAAATGCGCCGGCCGGATTGGCGTGTACAGGAAGGCCTGCGTGGTTGTCCGCGACCCGGAAGTGGTCGAGATCACGGGAGGCGGCTGCGCCAACTGCTGGTACAGCCGACAGGGTTCGATATGCACCTTCCGGTCTCCAACGCCGACACAACAGCAGTCAGCGCATACCACGGTCTCTGCTCGAGAAACACACATTCCCGTCCCCCGGATTCCGGCCCCCTTTCAGCCGGTAACGCGCTTACCAGATCTGCCAGTGCAGGCGCCGGCGCCGCTTCACCCAAGCTATGTGGCCGCTCTCGCAGCCGGCGCCGTTGCTGCCAGCCCGACGCCAGTCATGGCTTCGAACGCCACCTTGGCCGATCCCGCCAGTCTCTTACGGGACAACAAGATAAGAGCGTGGGAGAGCCGGTATGCTAAGATGAACATACGACAACCTGCTGCGTGCCCATGAGCATCTGGCTGAGTGGCAGGAGGACCTGGCCACGGGGTTGATGACCATGAACCAGGTTGTCCTGATGAGGTTGAAGGAGATGAAGGGTTACAATCCGTGATTGCGATGCCCTATGAAGTAGCACCTGTACAGTCGGGTGAACCGGAACAGGAATAACGGGTTCGAGGGACGTATGCGCAGGAAATGGAAGCATGTCAATAAACACATTGGCGCGCTTAACACATCATCGCTCTACACGGCAGACGAAGATGGGTATTGTCGGGGGGTATTGCGCACGGCCTCGGGTTCGCTGGCTCACGGGCCGAGCGCCAACCCCGGAGCATTGACATCCGTCCGGAGTGTCAGGATGCAGATTCCCTGATTGGTGCTTTGGCTGCTCCTTTTTGTGCTGTTATGTTTCCTTTCTGGGGCTTCTGAGGGTTAAAAGCACCTCAGGGTCTCGGTCGCGGTAATGAATCTCCGAGATCAGCCCCCGCCACCGACACGGCCTCTCGAACGGGAAGGTGGAAGATCTGGATGCCGAAATCCCAGGATCGTCCGTTACCGGAATCCATGTTTCTCCTGATTGCCGTCCCATCCGCACTAATTAATCTGGCATCCATGTCTCGTACCTAAGATATTGTTCCAAGACTAACCGGGCTTACTACTGTAGTACTTAAGAGCCGTGGAATCCGCCAACCCCAGGTGTCATATAGACTTCACGACCACACGGGCTTGGGATTCACGACTCACAATTCCACGTTCAGGATGGTCCACTCCCCTTTACTTGGACTCGCCTGGGTGCTCGCGGCTACTCCGCTTGCCAGAGCCGATATCACGACAGCCATCAACGCCAAATCGAACTGGGGTACATGGGAGGGATGGGGTACGTCTCTGGCATGGTGGGCCAAGCAGTTCGGCCACCGCGATGACCTCGCCGACGCCTTCTTCACCCTCAAGTCGACTACTGTGAACTCACAGACCCTCCCCGGCCTTGGCTTCAACATTGTACGGTACAACGCAGGGGCCTCGAGCTGGAAAGCTATCGGAAGCGAGCGCATGGTCGAGTCCAAGAACATCAAGCGGTCTCGCCAGATCGAAGGGTTCTGGCTAGACTGGAACAGCGCCGACGCGTCCTCGTCCAGCTGGGACTGGTCCGTCGACGCCAACCAGCGCGCGGCGCTGCAAAAGGCCGTGGCCCGCGGCGCCAACCGGACCGAGCTCTTCTCCAACTCGCCCATGTGGTGGATGTGCAAGAACCACAACCCGTCGGGCGCCAGCGACGGGAGCGAGAACATCCAATCCTGGAACCTGGAGCAGCACGCCGTCTACATGGCGACCGTCGCCCAGGAATTCCAGACCCGTTTCGGCATCCGCTTCGAAACAGTCGACCCCTTCAACGAACCGTCCGCCAACTGGTGGAAGGCCGATGGCACGCAGGAGGGGTGCCACATCGACGTGGCCACCCAGTCCACCATCGTCAACCACCTCTCCGCGCACCTCTCCCGCCGCGGCCTCGCCACCGTCATCTCGGCCTCAGACGAATCCCTCTACGACCAAGCCCTGGCCACCCTCCGCGCCATCGGCAGCACCGCCCTGAGTAATATCGCCCGCATCCACGTCCACGGCTACCAGTACGGCAGCGGCAACCGCGCGGGGCTCCGCGATGCCGCCCGCTCGGCGGGGAAGCCGCTCTGGCAGAGCGAATACGGCGACGGCGTCGGCTCGGGCGAGAATTTGGCGCGCTACTTGCTCCAGGACATGCGCCAGCTGCGGCCGACGGCATGGGTGTACTGGCAGGTCCTCGACGGCGGCGGATGGGGGCTCATTGACGCCGATAATGACGCCAACCGGCTTGGCGTCGCGACCCAAAAATATTTTGTCCTGGCGCAGTTTGCGAGGCATATTCGCCCGGGGATGCGTATTCTGGATGGCGGAAGGGATAATGTCGTTGCGGCGTATGATGCGAGCGGTGCGGGCAAGTTGGTCATTGTCGCGGTCAACTGGGATGCGCCGCAGTATATCAACTTTGATCTGTCGGGCTTCTCGCAGCGGCCGGCGGAGGGGGTCAGGGTGCCGCGGTGGAGGACGCATATCGGGTCTGGCGATCGGTATGCGCAGTTTACGAGCGATACCAGCATCAGTGGGTCGAGGTTTTGGTCGTACTTTGAGAAGAATACGGTGCAGACGTTTGAAGTCACTGGCGTTAAGTTGTAAGGCAAAGCTACGGGCCTGGAGGATTATTTGTTGAAAGGATTGGGGTATTTAGTAGCCAGCTACCTATCTTGGAGAGGAGAAATGTCTACCACTTTTGCGGTTGAAGATTGTTCTAGTCTCGTACTGTGACTTGAGACACGGAGTAGTTAAGGGAAAGCTCAAGCTGTCTGTTTGTCAGCTCCTAGTTCTTTGCTTTTAGAAGCTGTCAGTCTCGGCCAAGGGCCTCGTCTTCTAAGTCTGTGGCGATGAGGATTCGGAGTTGAAGTTGGGTTGCCAAAGGCCAGAGCTCACCAACCAACTGCCCTCGCCGGTCGAATCTAGTGAAGGAGGTGGTCGGCTATGACAACACCGGCGTGATTTTACTCTGAATCGAACAGATGTCTCCCCGAAGGTAGATCTAGCGTCTTAGTACGCCCGGGATACCCTCCCAGAGCTGAACTATACGTAGGATGGATCAATTGAACCCAAGGCACCGGCTCTGGGGTTTGCGTCACAAAGCCCCATTGCTCGAGCCATTGACCTCTTTGCTGCGTTGAGGAACGGGAGCTGGGACGTTGTTTGTGGGGTGCTGAGTGATCGGGCAGGCATGTACGGATGTCCCTATCAAAAGTTACCACACCGCCTATTTAGTTTACTGGCCATAGGAGAGTTCTCTGCCAAGCAGAACCACTGTGATTTTAAGGCGGTGAAGCAAGACTTTTGGTAGGAACCTCCGTACTTGCAGGCGTGAGGTTTAATATGGAAGTTTTGCAACCATTCTATGGTGCAACTTGGAAGACCGTCGACAAACATCAGGGACTTCAACTGGAACCTACACTCATGTTTTCGTCCACAACCATACCGCCACCAAGCTCTCCAGCCACCCCGGCAGCTCTCATAACATGAAGCCAACGCTACTATCCCGACTATTACACTGCTCAGAGGTTTCACAGGCTTAGTAGGCAACTCGGGAGACATCGTCAGCCGCCTAGAGCATATATACGTGTGCTTTGAAATTATAGCTCAAGTTTTTATCCCGCTGCTTTAGGTCGGGTCGGAGCTTGACTGAAGGACTGACACATCTGATAAGGGACTAGTATGCAAAGAAAGAAACCAGATCATCCATTACATCCGGGTGGCACCCCAGCCCGATTATCCAAGATATCGTCACCTCGTCCGATCCAGGGATGCCGTCGTCAACGTCTTCCCAAGCCGCTTAACATCATCAAAAATGGCCTCCCACCGCTGAAGGGAATAAACGAGACATGGAAACCGTCCGAGTCAAGTGCTACTCGGCAACGGTCCCAAACAGCGAAATCGAGTGCACAAACCCGTCAATGTTGTCCTCGTAATTCGCCACGTCCACCCCGTCCACGGTAATCATCTTATTGGTGCCGACGGTATTCAGGTTATACACCCTGACCTCGCTCTCTCCCTCGACACTAAACGTCCTCTTCTGGCATCGCGCGCCCTGCCCGATCTGGCTGCAGTTGACATCGTAATTGTCAAAGAAGCTGTACAGCCCCGCGCCATACACCAGCAGCCCCTTACTATCGACCACCCTCAACCCCCATCCGCTCTCGCCGGCGGCGAACACGGGGTCCGAATACTCGGGGAGAGACGCGAAGGGGAGCGTGGCGTCGGGATTCGGCTGGTAGTAGGCGGTCTCGGTCTGAATCTGGCCCATGAAGACATCGGCCGCGCCGACAAACTGGTACTCGTACAGCTGGTGGTGCTCAACGCTCGTCCCGACCAGCCACAGCGGGCCAGGGCTGCCGTCGACAAGCAGGCCCCGGCCCGCGTAGACGGTGATTTGCTGGTTGTCGGCGCCCTCCTCAATGTCATGATCAGCAACCCACAGCCAGCAGTTCTCCATGTACAGCGACGCCGCCGAGGCGGTGATGTGCATCGACATAAACGCGGCGACGCACTCGGTGGCGAGGTTGTCGGGCGTGACGACGACGTCGGGCGTCTTGGCGCACTGCGCGAGCTGCAGGTCGGAGCCGGCGAAGCCGCCCACGCGGGTGTGCACGTCCCAGAGGCCCGAGGGGTGCGCCGTGGGCGAGGCGAGGTTGTACTGCAGCAGGATGGCGCCCGGCTGGGCGCCGCGCGTCGAGATGATGGTGTTGGACCACTCGATGCGGCCGGTCGAGCCTGGGGTGCCGACCTGGACGACGGGCTGCGGGGACGAGGCCGAGGCGAAGAAGGCGCCGGACGAGAGGATGACGGGGAATTGCTCGCCGAAGATGCGGGATCCCGGCGGGATGTGGATCGTCTTGGTGACGAGGTACATACCGGCGTCGAGGAAGACGACCTTGTTGGCGGCGGCGGCCGAGGCGAAGAGGGCGTTCAGCGCGTCCGTGTCGTCGGTGGTGGCGTCGCCCTTGGCGCCGGCAGAGCGCGCGCTGACGAATTCCGACACGGGCAGGTTCTCGTATTGCGGCTTGGACCGCTCGTAGAAGGCGGTGCCGGCGACGAGCGAGGCCGGGCGCGTGTTGGGCTGGATGGGACCCTCAAAGAAGGTCGGGCCGGACGAGGAGGTGTACTCGTGGCCGCGGCCCCAGGCTTCGATCACGGTCTGCCCGGAGGACCCGGCGAGCACGGTGCCGGATGGGTTCTGGATAGCCGTCGGCACGTTCTCCAAGCGCAGGTTCTCGAAGACGAAGTTGTTGGCCACCGGAGGACTCGATGCGCCGGCGCTGCCGTAGGTAATGCCGACCTTGGTGTTCCTGACCTCGCTGTCAAGGATGGTGATGGAGCCAACATTGAGGCCACCGTCGCCGGCAGCCGTGAAGTCGAAGCCGACCTCGCAGTTGTTGATGCTGACGCCCTTGTAGGTCCAACCCCAGGACCACAGCTGTTGGATGGCCGTGTGGGCGTTGTGGACCGTGATGTTGCGGAAGGTGAACTGCTGGTTGCCGATGGACATGGCCTGGGCACCGCCGTAGAAGACCAGATCGCCGACGTAGCCGCCGGAGCCCTCTTCGATGAACAGGCCCTGATGTTGGTTGCCGGGGGCCTCGGACGACTTGAAGACGATGTTGGTCAGCGACGTCGACTGCGAGCTAGGCCAGTGGACGCCCGCAATGAGCTGGCTTGCAGGGACATTGGTGATGTCGATGACGAAGTTGGCAACCTTGCGCCAGAAGACGTTAGTGGCGCCCCAGGCCTTCCCATTGAGGCCGTACGGGTTCGTGTCCAAGAGCCAGCGCTCGGTAAAGCTGGCTGTTGCCTTGAGCACTGGCATGCACCCGGGGTTGCCGATCAGGTCCGTGTAGTAAAAGTCAATGATGGGAGCCGAGACCATGTAGGTGCCCGGCGGGAAGTAGACGAGGCCTGGCGTCTTGGTGCTGCCGGTGCAGCCCGGGCCGCAGCGGCTGCCCTCGCTGATGGCCCGGTTGATCGCCTCGGTGTCGTCGGTCACGCCATCGCCCTTGGCGCCGTAGTCCTTGACGTTGCGGAACACCTTGTAGCCCGAGCCAGCAAAGGGGGCAACGCCCTGGTGCTGGATCTTCTCGAGCCAGAAGTCGGTGCATTCCGGAGCCGCAATGCTGCTGCTTGAGGTGCTGGTCGAGCTGGTGGTGGAGGTGCTGGATGAGCTGGAGCTGGAGCTGAACGACGTCGTGCTCGAGGTCGTGCTCGAGGTCGTGCTCAAAGTCGTGCTCAAAGTCGTGCTCAAAGTCGTGCTGGACTCGCTAGTGCTAGAGCTGCCGGTGCTGGAGCTGGCCGAAGCCGTGCTGGACAAATCCGTGCTCGGCGTCGCGCTCGAGGTTATGCTTGACTCGCTCACACTGGAGCTGCTGGTGCTGGGCGTAGTGGTGCTGGACGAATCCGTGCTCGACAGGTCGGTGGAAGAAGAGACAGGAGGAGAGACCGTAGAAGACGCCGACGTAGAAGTTTCCGTCTCGCTGGTCGACGAGCCACTGGCGCTCGATTCGGTGGTTGTGCCGGTCTGGCTGACGCCGGAAGAGGTGGCCGTCCCAGAAGAGGCGGAGGCAGACGTGTTCGAGGCGGTGGCACTAGAGGACACACTAGCGCTCGACACACCCGTTGTGCTGGACAGGCTTGTATCGGAAGAGGTGCCGATGCTGGAAGAGGCAGAACCGGAAGAGACGGAGGCAGAACTGCCCGAACTACTGGTGCTCGACGACGGGCCGACGCTCGACCTGGTCGTCGTGCCGGACAGGCTGACACCAGAAGAGGTGTGTGTGCCGGAAGGGCCGCTTGTTTCGGATGAGCTCTCGGTGCTGACGAAGGAACCCCAGGAGGACAATGTCTTGGCGATGGACGAGGGCCCGGTCAAGCTGGTCGAGACCGACCCAGACTCGGTAACATCGGAGCACGGCGGAGGCGGGCTAGGGCTCGGGCAAGTCGTGAGCGTCTTGCTCACCACAACCGTGACAACCTTGGGAGGCTTGGTCAGGGTCAGGGCATCAGATTCAGAGCCGTGGTGGTTCGCGTCCACAACGCCGGCAGCGATGCCCCGGACCAGGGCCGAGATGGCAATGAGTGACTGAAGCGAGAGACGATGCATCTTGGAACTGATGCGGTGGTTCAAACGAATGACTGTGGCGCGCCGGACACTGGTCGCACCATGGAGCGATCGAGACTGTCGGGCGTCCCCTTCACGAAACGGGGGAGGGATCGACGCGAGTTTTAAAAAGAATGCTCTCCACGCTGAGCCAAAACCCCCGCAAACACCCGGGTCAGCCGCAGCACTCCAGCTCACAACCTGGACTCCTGGAGTTCTGGCTTGTCATCTCCGGGGAAAGCACACGGCCCCTGCAGACCAAACGACCCGCGATGGTGGTCTCGGGGCAGGGGATCTCGGTGCTTCTTTCATTCAAGAAGCCCCCCGATTCGCCGGAATGAGCCTGGAGAGGGTGGCATTTTGCCAAGCGCTGCAGGTGCTAGCCTGAAAGGTGCCCGGTGGCGGCGGATCGAAATTTGGTCTTGAATGCGCCTAAAATTAGTGCTGCCGCCGAAAGCGTTCCGTGGCCATGAGCTAAAGCGCACTTTTGTCAACATGAATCCGCTCCAACCTGTACACTACTGTGTAGAGTCTTAGACGATACCAGGCAATACATCAGAGGGCATTTCCATTTTCTCTGGATTTGAACCATCACGTCCTGGCGCAAAGTGCTCTGCTTGCCGGGTAGAAACTTTCTTTGCTTGTCGATTTGGCCCCCGCTCGTGTCACCATCTTCTGACCGTAGCTTACACTGGAGCCGAGTGGAGCGGAGGAATCCATAGTTCCGCAGAATATGGGGAGAATCTGGGGACTTTGTTCCGAATCAAGCAGCAGCTGTCGGGCCTTTTCTTTTCAAACTTTTCAATCGTGTACAGAGGGTGTGATGTAATCAAAACACCGAACCCCGAACAACTTGGCCACTTTCTGCATGGGACGGCGAAAAGTAACGGGCCGCAAGCCACTGAAGCCACCCGCGACGCCGGCGTGAACCCCCGCTGATGCCATCCATGCGATGCGGCTTGCGATGAGCACGGGCAAGGCACCATGGCCAACTAACGTAAAACAAGTGGTCGCCCCGACTGGCCCGTGGATAACTACCTCTACTACTCCGAGTCTATCTCACGAAAGTCTAGTCCCGTTTCGAATTTCTCGCGCTCACGCCTAGATATACATGTAGCCATTTGGACAGCTTGTATTGTATTGTTGAAAACAATCGAACAGAGCATCCGGTTGGGAACAGGAAAATGTCGAGATACATTCTCGAGCCCGTCATCAGGACAACCTTGTAGGTGACTGATCAGCTTGGATCGGCTATCTTGAGGTCGACAGGCTGAGAAGGCCCTTCGGGACCTTGTTGGGGTTTTCTTCCCTCCGAATAACTAATTAACGTTAGGGTGTGGCAGCTCTTTCGACGGCCTGCTGCAAGACACGGTCGGCACTGCGGCTTCGGCCTCGTGGGGAGACCCTCGTAGTGCAAC